TTGTCTTGTTTCTAGTCCAAAAATCTAAAAAGTCTTACATTAAGAAGCATTTTCTAGACATTTTCTAGTCTTGTTTTCAGAAGTAATAAGCCAAAATTAAGTGTTTTTCTCCCATTTTACCCAATTGGCAGATTATTTAGCTTGTTTTAAGAAAAAAAAATCATTTAATCACTTATCCAATTATTTCTGAAAACAAAACAATGTTTTTATTTGTCTAAAGGTTTCTTGATTTAAGATTTATTTTAAGATAATTGGACTAGAAACAAGACAAAAAAAGCTATGACTATGAGGGAGAACAAATGATGAGAAACTGACCTTTAAAAGTGTTGGAATTGAAATATAGAGACACAAATTGATAAAGTGTGACAAAAACACTCTTAACATTTGACTGAAAATCCCAAAATCTGCATAAAGAAACCTGCAGTGTGTCGCCTTAAAAATCTGACTGAAATTTCACTCTCATTTCACTCTCCCTACAGTAAGAGTTTTCTCTACTTCAATACACATCCTAAGGAGATATGCAAAGCGCTTGATAAAACATTATCAATTTATGTTTGAGCAAGAAACTTTCGGAATCTTGTGCCACTGCCAGAAGAGATTGCTGCTTTTACATTCCTGAGGACTGATCTACGATAGTAATCACAGGCTGGGAGATTATTTCAGCTCAAGCACGCAGGCCCTGTATAGTTCCAACTGATTCACAATGCTGGTATAAAATGCTAAAATATTCCGGGTTCGTGTTGGGTTTCCTTTAAATCTTGACTACAACAGTGAACAGAAACAAAGGAACTCAAACAACTTTAAGGAAGCCTGAACACAACCGCACCAAATGTGAGCAGCGAGAGATGGACAAGAGTCGAAACTGGAAATCTATTATTATCCATCAAAGGAAGAGTTCACCCAAATATGAAGTCTGTCATCAGTTTCAAATCTGTATTGATGTGAAATACAAACGTATAGATTTGGAAGAATATTGGTAATCAAATTGTTTCAAAAAGTTTTTCCATTACATGTACACTAAGTGACAAAGTCTAGTCGTCGATCCCTTTTGTAAGAGCAATAACAACTTGACTTCTAGTTGATCATTTGGAAAAGTGGCAGAAGGTAGATTTTTCAAAGGAATCATCTGTTGAACTGTATCCAAACCATCACAAATACTACACAAGACCTACTGGAACCCACATCGACCCAAGATTTGCAGAGAAATCAGTCAAGTTTGGTAAAGGAAAAATCATGGTTTGGAGTTACATTCAGTTTGGAGGTATGCAAGAGATCTGCAGAGTGGATGGCAGCATCAACAGCCTGAGGTATCAAGACATTTCTGCTGCCCATTGCATTACAAACCACAGAGGAAGAAAAATCCTTCAGCAGGATAAACCTCCTTTTCATACTTCAGCCTCCACATCAAAGTTTCTGAAAGCAAAGAAGGTCAAGATGCTCCAGGATTGGCCAGCCCAGTCTTCAGATATGAGCATTATTGTGCATGTCTGGCGTAAGATGAAGGAGTAGGCATTGAAGATGAATCCAAAGAATCTTGATGAACTCCTGCAAGAACGCTTTCTTTGACATTCTAGATGACTTTATTAATAAGTTATTTGAGTCATTGCAGTGATGTATGGATGCAGTCCTCCAAGCTCATGAGAGTCATACACAATATTAATTCTTTTTTATATTCTATACTGTACATTATTTCTGTTAAGTGACAAGACTTTAGTCTAAGCAATGTCAGACCTTACTGTCCTAATTAAATAATTAAATATTAAGGCATGATCATATTTTATTTTGGTGAAATAAGTGTAAACTAGAGGCCTTTGCCTTTCATATACGCCACTTCTGAAACCAAATAATCAACTAGAAGTCAATTTATTATTTGTTGTTCCTTAAACTTGGATAGGCGGCAAGACTTTTCTCAGGTAGTGTATACAGTTAAGCCCGAAATTATTCATACCCCTGACTTAAATGTTTTTTTGCTTAAATAAATTTGTAAATAAAAGCAGAGAAATATTTTTTTCTGCAATGATGCTTGTATATTTGTACATCTTTTAAGAGAAGCCTGTGTCATTTCTGATAAAAAATAATAATAAATACCCTGCCGGTTGAATTAAAGTAACTTTAAGTCAGAATTTGCCAGGAGTTTTAATAATTATTAAAGGTTTAATTTCAATTAAATAAGTAACAAACCATAAACAAGTTTGCTGATCCATTTAAAGTAATTTGTTCATATTAATTCAACACCTTATTAAAACTTCTTGCAAGTAGAATTTGTGCAGAAAGACTACATTAGCCCTGATATTGTACTGAAAATGACACAAATTATTGAGTTGGAATCAGTACAATGTGGCAAAAGATAACTTCAACCCCGCCCACTCTTAAGAAGCACAGCCTATGACAAAATCAAACAATACATTTCATGTTTATAATTACACTCACCGGCCACTTTATTAGGTACACCTTTCCAACTGCTCATTAACACAAATTTTTTAGTCAGCAAATCACATGGCAGCAACTCAATGCATTTAGGCATGTGGACATGGTCAAGGTGATCTGCTGCAGTTTAAACTGAGCATCAGAATGGGGAAAAAGGTGATTTAAGTGACTTTGAACGTGGCATAGTTGTTGGTGCCAGACAAGGTTGTCTGAGTGTTTCAGAAACTGCTGATCTACTAGGATTTTAACTCACAACGATCTCTAGGGTTTAAAGAGAATAGTCTGAAAAAGAGAAAATATCCAGTGAGTAGTTTGTGATGCCAAAGGTCAGAGGAGAATAGCCAGACTGGACGAGCTGATAGAATGGCTACAGTAAGTCAAATAACAACTTGTTACAACTGAGGTATCCAGAAGAGCATCTCTGAATGCACAGCATGTCTAACCTTGATGCAGATGGGCTACAGCAGCAGAAGACCACACTGGGTGCCACTCCTGTCAGCTAAAAACAAGAAACTGAGGCTACAATTCACACAGGCCTACCAAAATTGGGCAATAGAGGATTGGAAAAAGTTGAGTCTCGATTTCCGCTGTGACATATAAATGGTGGGGTCAGAATTTGGCGTCAACAACATGACATGAAAGCATGGATCCATACTGCCTTGTATCAACGGTTCAGGCTTCTGGTGGTGGTGCAATGGTGTGGGGGTTATATTATTGGCACACTTTGGGGTGATTAGTACCAACTGAACTTTGTGTCAATGCCACAGCCAGTTCTGAAGGCAAACGGGGGTCCAACCAGGTACCAGTAAGGTGTACCTAATAAAGTGGCCCTTCAGAAATGCCCTATTTACGCCTGGTATATAGATCTTTGTCAATCAGTTTACAAGAGCATGATGTTAAATAAATGTGTGAACAGGGTGTAAAACGTTTTGAACTTAGTTTTTGTGTTCCTAACATAAAAATGCTCATATAGTTAATTGTTTTTAAATGTCTGTAAGAACCACCTTCTTTTTTGTCTGCTGGCCAAACATGATTGTTATTGGCCATGATGTAATAAAGTGCATAAAAACAAAGTATTCATAATTCACCACAAAAAAAAAAAAAAAAAAAAAAAACTGATTATAATCAAATTTGTAGTTGCCACACATAGCCTTTTTGTTCACTTTGATTCAATCATTGTAATCATCCATTACATTTGGGTTAAATAAAAAAATCTATCAAAAGAAGCCCAAACTACACTGGACCCCACTCACTTTCATTATTCACACACAAAACTGAGACATTAAAAGAAAGAAAGTCATTCTTGGAACGATGTGAGCAAATGATGACTGACTTTTCATTTCTGGGTGAACTCTCCCTTTAAGCGCCCTTATAATTCAATCTTCATGACTGTCACTGACTGAGCCACAGGAAACTATCACTTTGGCCAAGTCTACAGAAGCACTTGCGTGAGCTGCATAGTTAGATAATGCGACTTGATTTCTTAAAAAATAATTATAAAAACAACAACAGCACAGGAAATATGCTTCAATTCTCAACGAGGTATAGAGTCTATGATGAAAATGACAGAAAATCCAGCAGCCTAGTCATTAAGACAGTGAAACGGAGACCAGATCTGTGCTGTTTTTTAATCGCTTGAAATCTAATGATACACAAACACACACATTTGACTGAAATGAATGCATGCATTAAATCAATCTCGTGACAATATTGTGCTCTGACTTTGTAAACTATTTCACTGGATTTCAACATCAACGTGAATGTTCTGAATTGTTAACTAGACAGACTTTTCGATGTTCTACTTGTCCTTATTTTATCTATTTCTCTGGCTAAAACAGCTTAATCATTGCGAGAGGTGTGAAAACATCCCATCTGTCCACCCAGAGCCTGTTATGCCCTCCTCTCAATCTCTCACTTTGTTCCCTGCTGGGTTTGAAGTTCAGAGTTTGGACCCATACGCATTTGAAACACATTTTACAGCTATGCAAACAAAAGAATCAGGTTTACAGGCCGCCTGTTGTGTAGCTGTTAACCAGCGATCTCTCTTTCTCTCTCACACTTACTAATCTTATCTTTAGCACCTTTCTGTCTCCTCATCACCAGTGGAAAAGGCAGAAACCTGACTGACTGGACTGAATGGAGAAGGCCAGCTATTGGGGATTCAGAGACCTTCATCAACCCAGAATTCATTCTACCAGGTCTCTTGGTCTCTTGGTACGAAATATCATCATTTATCTTCAATGATATGAAAGAAACGACTCGATCCACTGCAAACTATTATAAAATATACATTTGTAAATCTATATGGCCACCTCAGTACTGAGTCTTCCAGAAAAAGCTCAATAGATTGGTATTCTGAGATATGTTTGCTCATATCTACGGAAAGTACGATAAAAAGCTAAATGCGTTTATTACAAACCCAGAACCCCCAAAATGGCCTCTTTGTTCTTTGAGAACGAGCACAAAGCTAAAAAAGTGTGCATAGCAAAAGGCAACTGTTACACTTATCACCTAACGTTCTCCAAGAGTCAATTGAAATGCAGTTAACAGGACACTGTTTGGGGAGGGCGTGTCTAACTCTCTGACGGACATGAGGAAGGGGCGGAGCCTGAGGGCTGCTGGGACAGCATGCAGGTTCTCCGTGGGACTCTCGGCTCGGGTTCGGGTGTGAGGCGAGTAGAGCTTTGGTTCTTGAGGTTGTTGAGCTCCTGCGTGGCCATCAGCGGTTTGGGAATGCTGACCAGGCAGAATGCAGAGCCGCTCTTGGGGATGAAGTTGACCTTGTTCCTATCTGGACACAGGAACTGTGGGATCTCCCGCGGAGGCCTGGCCCTGAGGAGATGTAAACGGAGAGCGATAAGACAGTGAGAAGCACCGACGCAGCTTTGAAGTCGATGTACGTGTTGAGCTATCATGGTTTCAGAGTGCAGATAAAGCAGGACATGCTGCAGAACTCACTGTGTTTCTTCTGTGAAGACCTTGACTCGCTCGCAGCCCTCGGGAGGCTCACGCTTGAACATGAAGCTGTTGTTGGGCTTTGGGGATGAGGCATATTTAGGTAGGGGTGAGCAGAGTGCCAGATCTGTGAAAAAAAATAAAAAATTGTTTTTTTTTTTTTACACTTGATAAAGTTACCTCTACAGTATGCCATTTCACACTACTCAAACTGTGATTTACCATGGGTTAAGAGTTAATTCTGGGTTTTCGTATACTCAGTGAAGCATCTTTTCTTCACTCAAATTGATCCACTTTGTTATATTTTCTCCTTGCTATGCTGACAATCTGTATTGTTTTTATAAACAACACAAAAGCTCCACAACAGGATTTCAGATATAACTTAACTTAGCTTAGCCTAGCGTAACTTAGCTTGACTTGAATTCACCTAACCTAGGGGCTATTTCATAAAAGTGGTTAAGAAAAGCGGGGATTAAAGTCAAAAGCCTGACTTCAATGAGCTGAACTAAACGTTCACGCTTAAATTGGTTCCATAAAAGCAAGTTGAAGATCATTTGATCTGACTAGTCTGAGTTCAGTTTAAATAATCTAGATCAGTGGTTCTCAAACTGTGGTACGTGTACCACTAGTGGTACACAGGCTTCCTTTAGTGGTACGCGAAGGAATGAAATATGTCATGTACATGCTACACACATTTAAAAAAATTTCAAAAATGATGGATATAATATGCTACATATGACATTTAGCCTATATTTCTGAAGTAATCTGCCACGTTTTTTGAACTGTGCAGAGTTGTAGCTGCTTTATTGGGCCCACTGCCCTACTGTATTTCAATACTGCTCACTTTGGTGGTACTTGGAGAGACAATTTTTTTCTGAGGTGGTACTTGAAGAAAAAAGTTTGAGAACCACTGATCTAGATAACTGCTCGTGCACGTTTCTGTCGTGAAACCTTAAAAGTCGAGCATAGATACATCGATTATGTTGTGTGTTACCATGGCAACTTCGAGAACTGAAAGAGCTCTGATATGAGACACAGCTGTTCACAGCGAGTGAGCCGCGAAACTGCAGATAGTTCAATAGGCTACATTTGTGGCAATACATTTTTAAATACAGGCTATTATTTTGGCGTATTAACATGAAATTAAATATTTGTTATAAAACATAGTAATTGTGCTTGACCGCGCGCATGTGCGTGAGAGAGAGGATTTGTGCTTACTGCCAATTGTTGCTTGCAAGGAAAAGTTTTAATGCATTGCAGGCTCACTGTAACATACAAAATGTTCTAAATGTAAGCACATAGGTTTAAAATAAACAAAGAGCCGTGCACCCACAAGCGGTGGGATTTTCAATTTGCTCCCGAATCTGCTGCAAATCGTTGCTTTCTCTTTGCCACTTGTTTCCCGCGGTGGGAAAATATCTTTACACTAAAGTGAGGCTACTGCTCAGAACGAATCATCTCATGATTATTCCACTCATTTTACAGCTTTAAAGTCATTATTTAAGAAAAGTAGTCTTCTTCTTTAAATTAGTCAGTGTCTGTCTTACCCCCATGCTTGTGTGGGTTTCCTCTAGGTTCTCTGGTTTCCCCCAAATCCAAAGACATGCGGCACGCGCTAGCTATGGGATGAATTGAATAAACGAAATTTGCCATAGTGTAGGAATTTGAATGAGTGTGTATGGATGTTTCCCAGTGAAGGCGTCCGCTGCATAAATCATATGCTGTATAAGTTGGCTGTTCATTGCGCTGTGGTAACCCCAGATTAATAAAGGCACTAAGCCGAAAAGAATAAATGTATATATATATATATCGAGAGAGAGAGAGAGAGAGAGAGAGAGCGAGCTAAGAACACCCCTCACAGATTTCTCTTTTAAATTAATATTTTCTACAGGATGCTTTACAATAATATATTTGTGCATATACATTAGATTATTCAGTACCAATGCAAAGTTAAAAAAAAAGAAAAAAAATTTATATATATATATATATATATATATATATATATATATATATATATATATATATATATATTAAATTTATTTATTTATTTATTTTTTCAATTTAGTGACTATAAAGTTTTAATCATTATTAAGAGGTTAAGTGAATTAAAATGGCATCAGATTAGGGCAGGTGAATGTTAACATTAATTTGAATAGGCTTGAACTTAACACTTAGCCAGAGAGTTAGCCTGCCCTGGACTAACTAAGTAACTAAGTTTGAACTATGGTAAATTTGATTTATGAAACCGAAACCGAAGCAGGGTTTCAGATATAACCTAACTTAGCTTAGCCTAGCTTGACTTATCTTAGCTTAGATTGACTTGACTTCACCTAACTCAACCTATAAACAACACAAAAGCTCCACAGCAGGATTTTGGATATAATTTAACTTAACTTAGTCTAGATTAACTTAGCTTAGCTTTACCTAACCTAACCTAAGCTGAACTAACATAACATAACATACCATATAAACAACCCAAAAGCTCCACAGCAGTGTTTCATATATAACTTAGCTTGACTTATCTTAGCTTTACTTGACTTCACCAAACCTAACCTATTCTAACCTATAAACAACACAAAAGCTCCACAAGAGGGTTTCGAGTATAACTTAGTTTAGCCTAGCTTGACTTAGCTAGCTTGACACGACCTCACATAACCTAACCTAACCAAGCCTAACTTATAAACAACACAAAAGCAGCAGGGTTTCAGATATAACTTAGCTTAGCTTAACTTAGCTTGACTTGACTTCACCTAACCTGACTTCACTTCACTTCACTGCAACTTTAGTCAGCGTTGTTACTATTAACAAAAACTACAACAATTCAAATAAAATGTGGCTTGGCTTAAAGCCCAATACATTTAATTAAGTGTCCGGTAGATAATTATGTAATATTTACATTATGCTTTAAGCTCCTAATAAAGTCTTTCCCTCAATACAAATTTGATCATGTTTAAAACAATGATCACTAAAAAATGAAAATATGTAATTAATTTACTCTCAAGCTGTGTACACTTTTTTTCAATAAAACAATAGAAAATATTTGTAGCTAAATTTGAAGTCCCTGGTGATTCGTAAAATGTAAGTTAGCAACAATAATCACTTTAAGATTCAAAAAAACAGTAACACTTAAGTTTACAGACCAACTCTCACTATTAACAAGTGGCGTATTACCAACCTATTTGTTTCTGCATAATCGCCATGATCTTAATCTACATCCCTAATCCTACCCAATACCTAAAACCAACTTCTACCTAATAAACTATTAATAAGCAGCAAATAGGTTAATCCTAGTCATTAGTCATAGTTAATCCTTTATTTATAGTGAGAATTATATAAAAGGCTATCAAAAAAAATACATGCAAAACAAAAACAATACCCATGGCTACTATATCTTTGCTTGGCCTAAATATGAGCAACCTAAGAGCAAATGTTTTTCCATGAACTATCCCTTTAAATGTGTATCCTGCACATTTTTACAGATAGATGGCTTTAGGGCATGTTGATCTGCCCTGAGTGTGTATGTGGGTGTGAAACACCGTGGGCTGTACCTTTCTCACGGCCGTCAGCCAGAGTCTCGTCCTCATGGGGCGATGGACTATCACTGCAGGACTCGCTTGGCACACTCAGGAATGTGGGCGATATGGACTGAGAGCGGCTGCTGCTGTTGCTGCCCGTTGCCGTGCCCAGGGGCGTCTGTGTGTCAATGCTGCGCTGGCATAAAGGAGGAGGAGCCCGATGCCCGTCTGGAACCTCTTGAGGCTGGCCAGAAGAAAATGCCAGTGTCATATACAACAGAACGCAGAAATACAACTTACTACACACTAACACTGTCAATACATACTACATAGATATTGAAATATTTGCAACTCACTTGGCCACAATCTCATTCAGGCAAGCTAAAGTGCTTTGTTATGTTTTTTTTTTTTAAGATAACTGCCATATCTTCTCTGGGCCACTATAGGCTCAAATCCACATTAGCCTTAGCTTACTGTGCCGTATATTCGCCATAAGTGGCCTAAATATGTAAGATAACTGGGCCACATTTTCTATATCTTCTATAACTGCACTTACATGTAAGCCACTTTAGGTTTAGACCCAGACTACCCTTAAATGACTATGCCAATATTTTGCATAGTGCAATATTTTGCACTGTGGCCCACATTTATTCTCCATCATTTGGGCCAAATTTATCATTTTTCACATGGGCCACTTTAGGCTCACATTCAGATTATATTTTGCCATAATTGCCAAATATTTGCCCTAAATGGCCCATATATGAATTTGAATCTTTGGCCCCCCTTTGGCATTGTACAGGTACCACCAGTGCTGCGTAACTGCCTAAAGTGGCCCACACTCGTATACTATCTGGGATTGATATAATGCAAGTCAATAGTTTTGTTTTTTTTAAGTCCAAATCAATCCTTTGGCTCTTAATTATATCTCAGTGTATCATCAGGAGACACAGGGAATGTTTTAGTATGCGTTTATTTTTAATTTCAATAATGGGTAACCATTGACTTGTATTATACAAAGAACAGGTTAAATATATGTCAAAAAATAAACACTGCCAATAAAAGGTCATTTGTCAGGAATAAATTTCTTAAAGTTATAGAAACTTAAACCTGTCATCATCTTAACCATTGATCATCATCAAAATAGAACTAAAAGTCTATTTTATTTCTTTATTTACAATATGTTTTTAGGCATTCTCTGAGGACATCAGATGATGTAACAGAGAACAATTTGTGCAGGATAATGTCAAGCACACTCACAATAAGTTGCTCCTCTCTGTCTCCTGTGTCCCGGATAATGATGCGCTCGATCTCCTGATTCAGCCCCTCCACACTGTTCCGGAAACGAGAGACGGAGGATTTGGAGATGGGAATAGAGATCAGGACGCTCTTTGGAATTGGAGCCTGGAACAGGACAGGATGGGAAGGTGTGATTATTTGCTGTATGTGATGTTTTGAAAGCAGCACATGTTGAACTGTTGATCTAATGGTTTGTGCATCTGCTTCAACTCAATGGAGCTTCAGTGAGAGATGGATTTCCCTTGAAATGATTTTATTCCATTCCCTATTTCTGACGTTACCAATAAAAATAAAAACAGTATATAAATAGAAAATATTTGCAGGTGCTGATAGCCTAGTGGTCAGTTCGCCGACATAGGCCCCGTTTACATTCTCAGGTCTTGATGCCCAATTCTGATTTGTTGCCTATATCTGATTTTTTTGCCTGTCCGTTTACACGTTCTTTTAATAGTGACCCATACCTGATTCATGTGTTTACACTTGGCTTACAATTTACGATATTGCACCTGAGTAAAAACGGGTTTTAGAATCTGCGCCACACTAGCCATGATTGAAGAAATTGTCTTGCTTTCAGCTCTGCGAAATATGCGCATTTCGCCTAACTTCAACATGACTTTGAAGTGGAGGAGGAGGGAGAGCACCGTCATTACAGCTTGCACCTATAGTTAATATATGGTGTCCTCCACCATTCAGAGGAATTTGTGGGTACGAGTGAGATCTCAGATCTGGTGGGAGCAAATTGTGGCAACTGATCACTTTCCTCCTCTATGTTTCCTCCATGATCCTCTGTTGTTGTTTACAGTGTTAGCGTTTCCACACAAGCTCTTCCTTCTATGTCATTAAACCGTGTACCACAATGTCTCAAGTTTAGAGACGTACAAAACGGAATGCCTCGATAAATCTGATCTGCCTGTTTACACATCATTGTCACATATCAGATTTATATTTGATTTATTCTCACATATGATGGAGGCCTGAAACCGATCTCTGAATATCCGCATTTCATGTTAACATGGTCAAAGAACAGATCTGATCTGTGTCATTTATGAGGAAAAAAATCGGAATTGGGTCACATTTTGCAAGTGGCAGTGTTAACCGTGCCATATAATTCAAGTGTGCTGCAGGTGTCCCGAGTTCGAGTCCATACTTGTGGACCTTTCCAATCCCATCCCACTCTAAGCCACCAATATACTGTCCTATAATAATAAAGAAAAAATACCAAAAAATAGATATATTTTTAAATAAAATCTAACAAATTTTTATATATTGTATTTTTTTTATATATATACTTAAAAACCTGTTACTATATATAAGAGACTTTTTTTTTGCTTTATTTAAATTTTTGTTTAAATATACAAACATTTTTAAATCACTTTTTTGCTCCCCCATTAATCTCTTCCTATATTTAACTCGGGTTGTAATTGTTTGGCGTGATTTTGCCAGTTACGATACGATACTGGATTAACATCTTTGTTGATCCTGGAACATCCTTCCTGTTAGAAAATCCATAGCTAATCCCAACCCCTAAATCTAACTGTAAATCATTCCCAAATTCAGAGAAGATTAACGATTGGATAACAATGATGCAGAAGCAAATAGGTCTAACTGTAAACTCAAACTTAATGTAAAGCGTAAATGTATCCCTTAAATCTGACTGAAAGGTTGTCACTTCCTTGGTGGAGTTATACTTACCGCTTTGATTAGTACCACGTTTGCAACAGTAAGTTATCAACTGAAACCATAATCACATCATTGAAGATAAGTGAATGTGTGTATGGCTGGTGTGTGTGATTGCAATCTGCATAGCACAGAGAGACTGCCTCAACACAACAACAGATACTGAAAAACCCTGAAGGAAAAACCCTGACTGAATGTGTGAAAACTTCTAGCCACAACATGACACAAACCCTTAACATACACACACTGAAATTTATACATGAAAAAGTCTACTTCAACATAGAGTCAACTGCATATGTTATACTTCAGCATATGGCTCGCATTACTCACAGCAGAACCACTATTTTGAGTTTAGGCTACTAGAAATGGAAACAGTGACAGAAACTGAGCAGATTAGGTTGTAGTTGAAGCTGATCGATAGCTGATTTACACTCACTTATTTCCTTCTTTATAAGGGGTTAGAAACAGTGGAATGAACAGCTAATTATTCTGGGTACATGTTTTACTTGCTAATACCATTCCTGCCACAACCCAGCCCTGAGAGACTCTTGCAACCCCCCAGTGCAGGAAAACCCCCACATAGTCTCCTGTTCAAACACATCTCCCATGTCCATTACACTTATACTGCTTGTGTTTCGACCAACTCAGGCTCATTCTGATTACATACCCCTATAAACATTTCTGGAGAGAGCGAAATACGTCCCAGGAGCTACGTTTTTCCACAGTTTTTTTTTCGCAAATTTAAAAGAGGCTGCTGTGTAGGCTTTTTTAGATCTCAGATTTCTCTCACGTTTGCCATTCGCGCCTGCTGTTCTTATATAAATCCACCAGAGGCCGCTGTCGACTGACTGACCAACAGACTCGCTGAGCAACAGACTGATCCTCCCACCCCTTCCCCTTCCTTAAACCCAACCAACAGTGTTTTAAAAAGCACTGATTGACCCGCCCACCCCTTCCCTAAACCCAACCACAGGGTTTTTAGAAAGCAATTCAGAAAACCAAGTCCCCTGATTATTAGCACGTTTCAGATTTTACCACTTTCTCACCCTGTTATTTACTTGTTCATTTAATTTTTTAGCTTTTATTTTTGATTCACCAGCTTTCTGGAACCGTTCTTCACTGGAAATCAAACCCCATTGTTGTGGTCAACTCCCCTCTGCGTCTCAAGTCTGCCGACTTACAAGTCAAGATACCGGACAAACTGGTAACAGTGGGAAAGCAGTCCATACGGAGGTAAGCAGTCAGCTGGTTAGCGAGAAAAGAAACGACGTCATACCACCCCGTAGCGTTCAATATAAAGATGAAATGCAGCCATACGTAGCTCTGGCTACATAGTTTGCAATCTACAGAAATGTATATTCGGCTACGTTTTCAGAATGAGCCTATGTTGGTTTGGACTGTAGGGGAAATTGGAGCACAGAGAGGAAACCTATTTGAATATGGGGAAAACATATAAACTCTAAACAAAAAGGCCTGCCAAATAATTCCTTTAAGTGTAATAACTCGATCACTCACTTTTCTTTAGCTTATACCCTGCTCTTATCAGGGCTCGCCACAGAGGAACGAACCACTAATTACTCTGACAATAGTTTTACACAGCGAATGCCCTTCCAGCCACAGTCCAGAACTGAGAGTACCACACCAAGTACTGGGAAAAAGTCACCCACTCAAACTCATTCACATACTATGGCCTATTTAGTTTATCCAATTCACCTATATCACATGTCTTTGGACTGTGGGAGAAACCTGAGCAACTGGAGGAAACCCACGCAAACAACTTGCAAACTCCAAACAGAAAGGCCTTCTTGTCCAGCCGGGACTTGAACCAGCAACCTTCTTGCTGTGAGGTAACCATGCTAACCACTTAGCGAGAGATGATGGTGGAGATTAAGTAAATCTGTTCTGTACATTTTTGATGGAAATGCATTTGAGGAAACCAGAGGTACCAAGTCGACCTATCACTGATCTCACGGTTGCGATCCCATCTAGTTGCGATGCTAGTTACATTTTTGCAACATAGGCTCATTCTGAAAATGTAGCTATATACATACATACATTACTATATATATTTCTGGAGATCACAAATTATGTAGCCAGAGCTATGTATGGCCGCATTTAATCTTTTAATCGAACGATAGGGGGCGGTATGACACTGTTCCTTTTCTCGCTTACCAGCTGACCGCTTACAGTTGCTTTTCCACTGTTACCAGTTTGTCCGGTAGCTTGACATGTACGTCGGCAGACTTGAGACGCAGAGCAGAGTTGAACACAACAATGGAGTTCGAGTCTGGTGAAGAGTGGTTCCAGAAAGCAGGTAGACAAAAGCTAAAAAATAAAAATAATCAAGTAAATAACAGGGTGAGAATATGGTAAAAATTGAAAACGTGGTAAAAATCAGGCTTTTTTTTCTAACTCTGCGGTAGGGTTTAGGCAAGGGAGTGAGCGGGTCAATCGGTGCTTTTGAAAACACTATTGGTTGGGTTTAGGCAGTGCTTAATTTTTTAATTGCATGTTATCCGAGGATGGAGAGGTGTCGCGCACGAGCGTGGAGAGCGACGGGGGAGGGGGGTGTTGGATGGCGGAGGGGTGTCGTGGATGAAGGACGAAAGTGAAGAGTGGGGGGTTGTTACGGACGAAAGTGATAAGGTTGGGGAGTCATGGAAGAAAGTAAAGTGAACAGCGGATGGGGGAGGAGGGCGGTTGAGAAGTGGGATTGGTAAAATCAGGTGCCAGATCAGATTTCAGAGGTGCCAGATCCGGCATGTTCTGGCACAAATTAAGCCCTCGGTTTAGGAAAGGGGGAGGGTAGGTTAGTCGATTGGTCAGTCAGTGAGTCATTCAGTCAGAAAACAGATAGTTGACAGTGCCCTAGAGTGGATAAATGTGAGAACAGCAGGTGCAAATGGCACTCAAAAGAGAAAATTGAGATCTGAAAAATCATACACAGTAGCCTCTAGTGATTTCGCAAAGATAAAAACTGCAAAAAACACAGCTCCTGGGATGTATTTTGCTCTCTCCAGAAATGTATATAGGGATACGTAATCAGAATGTTGAGGCGAACAACTATACTGATGTACAACTACAACCACTTGACCCAATAATGTAAGTTGGGCTTTACACTGGTACGCCCTTTCACACTCACAGATACATGGCACTGTAGCGTGATGGGCTCCTCTGCAGAGCAGTTATGTAACTCAGTCTCTCCATGATGATTTCTGAATCTCGCTTGTTTGCCGTGTCTCTTCATTCACACCTTACGACCACACCAGGACAACATGACACATGCAAACCACAAGCTTACTCCATTAAATCAGCATGCACATCGAGCAAATGTGCCATCTATGCTAACGGCTGTTGTGTGCCAGCTATTTTGCAACAGCTGAACATACATGTAAACTTCACCTTTCCAGAGAGTCCACTTCCTGTCA